TTACAGATGTTCTGGTTGGTTCTTTCAGATTGTAATCGATGCAAATTAGTATATTAACATCATAATTTATGTATCACAATTTTACAGATTGTGAACGGACAAAGCAGATATTAGAAAGTACAGTAGAAGGTAAAGTTGCAGAGAAGTTAAAGCAGACGAATAGACAAACAGAGGCTCTTGAACAGGCAGCGTCAACATCTACTGTAAGTTACTACACCTCCAGGATGTGAGGCCTTCTAAAGGCTTCACAGATGCCAAATGCCCCTTATTGAGGTCCCAGCAGCTGCGTATACCCAAGGCCACTGTCGGTGGCCTAGAGTATAAACATTCAACTTGAAAGATGGCGGGTTTAATATCTGCAAAACGTATATTAATAGATGCAATTCTCTGAAATTCCAAAAGATGGAGAATCGTTTCATTTGATTAGGCATCACCACTCTACCAAAAGGCTCTCAACAGAAGTGGATACACCCATTAGCTGAAATTGTTACTACTGCAACAAACAAAGAATACCACCAAACCCAAAAAATTCTTAACCAAAAACATAATTTAGTACTTCCCCATCCCCAACCATTCAGCATGAATGTATCTAAAAGCTAAATATTTTTAGCTTCTTTCATGTTGAATGTAACTAAAAATGTTAAAAAGGTTTTACCAACAATTTTAGCTACATTCAGCATGAATGTAGCTAAAAATTTTGGTAAAACCTTTCTAAAAACATTATATAACAAATTCCCACCGGACCATATATTGCACCAACTATTCAATCGCAATACATTACAAATCAGTTACAGTTGCATCTGTAATCTTAAGCAGAAAGTTGATGGACACAACAAAACAACTTAGTAAAATTAAACTGAACAGCCTAAGAACAGAAAATACTGTTGCAGAAAACCATAGGATGCCCTATACCTGACCGTTTTCCCAAATATATGTATGTTCAAACCAAACGTATGTTAGAACTTGCGTAAAACACATTCAAAACCAGGTATAACCACACACCTTATTTAAAAACCCAACCTAGAAATTCAACACCAAACAAAGTAAATATATATGTTATCTAAAAGGCAATAATGTATACTACACAATTACTGTAAATGGAAATTTTCTCATGCAGCCAAAGCATGTAACCCAAGCATGTAACCCAGCATCTAAATGATGTGAGTTATGTGTCTGGGAAAGTCCTCCATGACCAAGTAGAATGACCTCACCACAGTTTGTAGACATGCAAACATGTTTCTCCTAAAAAAAACTTTGTATATCATTTTAATAACACTGCCAATACAATGTAATATAAAACTATAGTGCAATGTTAATATAAAACTATAGTGCAATTAATGACATTGCTCTAAAACTGATATTGTTATTATTTACTTGTTAATTCTTAATTATTACTGATTGATATACTGATGCCTGGTATTGATGTTTTTATTCTTCACATGCCCAGTTTTAGCATGGACCTATTAAAATCAATCTGCGTTAATCTATCTTAGTCATTAGGCAGTCTGACGAGTGCTGCACGATGTATGTGTGACACTAAACTAAATCGTAATAAAATGTCTAATCAAATCCTCTTTTGAAACAGTTTCATTTGCATTTTACATATCAAATATATGCTAATCGAAGTAGTAGTTTTGCCTTTCTTAGCTCTGATTGCTTTAAATACAACACCAATTTCCTTTCTACAAATATTTAAAGTAATTCATATCTTTTTTTTTTCAGACAGAGCATGATGTTGCTGTAACAAAACCTAAAAGAGGTTGTTATTATTGAATGAATATTTGAAAAAAGATTTTTTTTCAGATTTTAATCTTTGTTATGTTTATATATTGGGAAACACGTAATTAGCTATTATTAGATAGTGCACAATTTTACGATAATATCAACTTATTCAAAAATATACTCGTATATATTTCATATTTTTCCTCATTCATGTTTGTTTATAATAACTACATTTTAAATATCTTGCTTATAATTCTAATAAGGCCTAAACAAATAATGTTGGTGTAACCCAATCAACCCTAGACATTGTTATTTAAATTTCTTGATAAAGTTTATGTGAGCAAATTGAGCATGGTTGGGCAATAATCAAAATGTTTCAAAAGTGGTCCTAGGTGAAAAATATGGCAATTAGGGGCTTTAATGGATTATTTAATTGATTTTATAGGTTTGGCCTTTGCTGAATATTACATTTTTTTAGGCCTAATGTTGGCATCCTGTCTTAATAGGAACAATTATTTTCAACCTAATAATCTACTAATTTTTTGTAATGTACAAACATCTAGTTATTAATCTTTGGTATTATAGATAATATAATCAATGTTCTTACATTATGGTAATTTAACAGGTCAAAAGAAGAAGAAAGATATCAGTGAACTTCCATTAGCAACTCTAAAAAGAATTGGGTACAGAATGAGGTTAAAAACCCCACAGCATAGTAATGAAGATATTACTTTCATTTGGGATTTTGCTGGCCAACAGCTTTATTACATTACACATCGAGTGAGTAAACTAAAGAAATGGTATTTGATTTCAGTAAATGATCCCTCTAATACTATTTTACTGCACAGCTTTTTTAACAGGACCTTTTTAACAAAGTGTTTTGGTGGGATGAGATTTAAAAAAAGAATTAAAGAATGTACGCATATACCAAATGAAATGTAATAATAGATTGTCATTAAAAAGTGTTTATTATTACTGTTATCAGATTATATTTTTCTCATAGATCTTCCTAACAAGCGAGGCTGTGTATTTGATTTTGTTCAGTTTGAAGGAAGGTATGCACAACAAGGGAAAGCGTAGATTCTCTAAAATGGTAAATTTATCTTTTTTATAATTTCCTTATATTAAGTACTTAACACATTTTATATACAGTCAGTCCTGTGAATATAGTCAAATACAAAATGGCATCACCATGTTGGACATAGACAATATTGCAAAGTAATTTTTTATTTCAGTATAACAAAATCTGTTCATCTCAGCTACAAGCATTGCAAGAGCCCTTTGTATTTGTTGATATTCTATTCTTTATTTAGAAACGACACTTTACAAGAGTGGCAATTATACATAAAGGAGTGTCCAATGAAAAACAAAAACTTAACAAATTAAATTAAAACTTAACAGAGAAAACTAAACTTGAAAAAAAAAACATGCTTTAAGCCTCCCGATCTTCAACCTCAGCCTGAGACTCAAACCCACAAATGATTAGTCAGTTTGCTAAGCTTTGATAAATGTTCTAAATAGGCCTGTAAAACTGAACCTGATAAAACTTATATTAAACTCTTTTTTACTTTATTATTTTTATTGTTTGTAGTATTTATTGCTATCCATATAAATGAAATACAAGTGTACAGTAAAACAAATTATAAAAATATGAGAGCATAGACAGTGAAACATATGGCATAGCAGAGGATAACTCATTTGGGATGCTTATTTCAGAAAGGGTCCTCATCAAAGAATTGTATACAACATGAAGATAATTATCAAAATATATACTATAGGCTTTAATAACAAAATAATAAATTATAATAATAATAAACAATAATAATAATAATAATAGTAATAATAATAAAAACAACATAATAAAACATTATCATAATTTAACAAACGATTATTTGTCACATCTATTTTGTATTTTATTGTAGTATTTCTAGGGACTAACTTAAAATTCTGTGTGATTATACAAGAACTTATTTTGCCACCGCCACTTAAATGTATTGCTATGTTATTTGGAATGTAAAATTTATAAACAAATGAAACTTAACTCAATTGAAGTAAACCAATTTGGCGTATGAATTTAAAATTGACTATTATGTATTCAAATTATAGCAAATATTTGTCATTGAATGTATATAAAAATAAAGTGGCAGTATTTTACATTGTCAAATTTTGGCATGTTTTTTCCAGTGCTGTCTTTTTTATAATGGCTGTGTTCATCTTATAAGTTTCTTCATTCTCCAGGCAAAGTATGTGATGACGTACGATATGACAAATATCCAGATTATCAAATATTGGATGAGGTTGATATATACATACGCTGTCCCAGTTAAGGCACAACAGCAGCTACAAGCCAAAAAACCTCAAATTGCGGTAGTCGGTACTCACAGTGATTGCCTAGAGGGCACAGAAGAAGACAAGAAAAAGCAGGTGAATATTAATTCTAAAATCAGTGCAAAAATAATTGATTGAAATTCTGAAAATTGTGTCATTTTATTATTTTATTTTGTTATTTAGATTGAAGAACAGTATGGAATACTATTCCAAGAGATCAAAGGCACTCCATATGAATCACATGTGGTCAGAAAAATGTACGCCATCAGTAACAAGTATGCATCACAGTGCGAGATGCTGGAAACACTTAAACAAGATGTTGGTAGTTTTCTGAAAGAAATGCCCAAAACAATCCCCTATAAGTGGCTCAAATTCCAACAAATATTGCAGGAGAATGGTAGGACAGCAGTACGCATGACCTATGCTGAGGTTCGCATTAATTATGCATTTTCATATAGATTTTTATCAAGAATATTAAATTAATAAATTATGTGATGTTACACACCACCCCACGGCTCTACCTCACACATACTCGTACAAAAAGTATCGCCCATTAATTTGAACATCAACCTATATTCATTTGCTATTTTTCACACTATTTAGGTTTGTAAAGTTGCAACTGAATGTGGAATTTCTGTGGAGAACCTCATTCATACTCTCAACTACTTGCATGATCTTGGAATCATTCTGTACTTTGAGAACAACAGACTGTTAAAGCATGCAGTGATAACAAACCCACGGAAGCTGATTTTCATCTTGAAGAGAATCATAACCGAAGTGGAGCCTGATGATGATGAAAAGGTGAGTCAAAGTGAAAATTCTCTGTCAGACATCATACGGTCAGTAATAATTTAAGGGGCCATGCATAATTTTCAACTTTTTCTATACAAAATATACACTTTAGGGGGTGAGAGAAGGTACTCAGAGTGAACAATGACATATTACTTTCTTTAGACAAAGGACATTGTGTCCTTACATTCTACCTTGATTTGTCAGTGGCTTTTAATACCATCAATCATAAGATCTTATTTGACAGGCTTTCGAGTCTGGGTATCTCTGGGACAGCCTTTGATTGGTACCAGTCTTATTTCTCTTTTCAACAATAGTCAGTTCACATTAAATCTTTGATTTCTTCCGATTGTAATGTTGATTGTGGGGTCCCTCAAGGATCAAGTTTAGGTCCCATTCTTTTTCTTGTGTATACCAAAAAAAAACCACTGTATGTACCACATCTATGCTGATGACATTCAACTTTGCATCTACTTTAAACCTAATGATGTCATTCATACTGTTCTCCAAATGGAATCCTGCATTTCTTAAGCTCATTCTTGGCTTGCCAAGAACATGCTTTCATTTATTGATAATCTCTAAGTTTCCTCCACTCTCATGTTTTGTTTTCTTTTCACTTTTGTGTTGCTTTTCTATTCTATCACTTTTGTGTTGCTTTTCTTTTCTACAGTACCACTTTCCTGTTTTAAAAATTATTCATGTTTTTTTTCCTTTTCTGTTCTTTTGGAGAATGCATAGAGACATGTTATATGCGCTATACAAGTGCACAACCATTGGCTTTTGAAAGTGTAGGCATAAGTACTCTTATATAAAAGAATAATGATCTTAAATGACACAAAATGTAATATTTTATTGTGTACTCTTTCAGGGGAGGTGGGGGGTGGTCACAGACAATAGTATGTTTTGTACTCTTGACAATGTTGACAATATGGATGGCCCATATTAACATGTTTAAAGTCATTACTTTTCAGTGGCCTTTGATGATTAAGCATTGGAATAAACTTGATGAAGGAATCTTGGAGGAAGAGTTAGTCAGACATCTTTGGAGAGATGAGATTAGCAAAGACGAAACTTGCTTTGAGTTCTTCTTAGAATTAATGAAGCAGTTTGGACTGCTGTGCGAGCAAATCAAGGTACTGTATTGAAATCAATGTATGTGTTGCGATGACAACACAATAATGAATTTAATTTATCAAAAGGTTATTTTAAGTTTACCTTGCATGTCTTTGAATTACTTTTTGTTAATAAAAATGAGTATAAAAATAGCTGCACATTTTTTACATATTTATTCCATTTTGTTCTTTCATCTTCAAACAGAATCAGGAAAGTACATATCGTTCATTTTTTGTACCCTGTCGACTGAAACGTAGCACAGACAATATGGCTATAGAGCCAGACACGAAGCAGATGGTATCGATCTATATGGCCTCTGAGGATTTCATCCCTGATAGTATCTTCCACCCTCTAGTTGTCAGCTTGATTAGAATGGTACAAGACATGCACTACACCGTCACCCCAAAATTATTTAGCAACTATGCTAACATCATCCTAGGACGTGATCACAGTCTCAGCTTAGGTCCAGTAGTCATTGATAACAAGCCGTCATTGAAGGTAAGATGTTGTTTGACGTCACTAAGTAAGTCATTATTGAATTGATGCATGATGAAGTTATCGAAAGTGAATACTGTATGTGACTGATTAAATAGTTTCTGTAAGCCTCAAAATTATGTATTTGTTACATTTTTTAGGTATTTTCATTGGGTTGTTTTTTTTTATGTATATAATATTTTAATGCAAATTTTTCTTTTATTGCAGATCAATAATTATAGTAATAATAATAATAATAATAATAATAATAATAATAATAATAATAAAAACTACGGAAACACTTGTTCACCACAATCAATGCCATAGCTAGGATTTTCAAACAGTGTGGGACAATATCAGGGTGGACCCACTTACGTGTAAATTCAAATAATGTGGACTTATTTTCTTAAACGTTGTCCAATTTGATGCAAAAATATGAAGAATCTGGACCCATTTTCTTGAAAATTGACTGATTTTATGCAAAATATGAGAAATCTGGATCCATTTTTTAAAAATTTGGCCCATTTTACAAAAAATATGAGAAATCTAGACCCATTTTTAAAATGTGGACCAAATCTTTGTGGACCCAAAAATACAGTGCCTTACGCTGAAGAGGGTTAGGGTTAGGCTAACTATTATCGCGATATCGTACGGTACCCATGTTTTATCAACCCATAAAAAATAGCCACACTGGTGGCAGTAGTAGAAAGGCCTAGCCAAGCTAGTGGGGGAGGGGAATGAATACAAATAAATAAGATAATATTAAATGAATATATTATTATTAATATTAATCAATAATGGTAAAAATGCAGTTTGGCTCAGTGGTTTTCAATCTGGTTTATCAACGTGGTCAAGCCTTGAGTAGGTGACAGCTAAATTAATCTACCATATGGGATTACAACCCAGACAAACTCAGCCGCAGGAAGAATCTTAGATGACCCAGTCTTTGATAATTCCATATTCGTTTTATCATTTTATTATTCTAACATCAATTTTTTTTTTTAATAATCTTTAATTATGCATATTACAGTAAAAATTTAGGCCTATCCTTAACAATAAATAAGCATAGGGCTATATTTATTGATCTATAGGAAAATACAGTTACAGATTTATTTATTGAAACAGCTAACTTAAATACGATAACAAAATTTACACATAGGATAAATTTGGAAGTAGCTGTATACACAAATTGAATAAGCTACAGAAGTTGCAGCATTTTTTTTATAGGAAATATTTCTTGTTATAATCTGTTCTTGGTTTGGGTAGTGTTAAATGATTTTTAGATCAGGTGTCTGACATTCTTTAGTATGGAATCTGCTTGTTAGGTAAGTTGGTGCTAAATTATTGGTAAGAACATACAGTTTGTAATAAAACTGTTTGAAATAGGCATAACATCAAGTTACCAGTACTGCAAGTTGCCTAGTAACTCTGAATTCAGTGAGAAATGTTCCTGCAAGTACGTTCTTACGATACTGTAATTGGGAGAAGCAGACATAAGGTCAGTCACATTTAGTCTGATTCTTTGTATGCTGCCAATTCAGGAATGTAGACAGCTGCGATAAGAGACCGATAAGAGACCACGTGCATGACTGCAAGACAATTAGAACTGTTCATTTTCCAACGGGTATAACAATGTTTTCACTATCATTAATATGTGTGTTGACAGTGAGATTTTCACCGGGTAGACAATAGTTTAGCAGCAACTCCCTTGTTTACCTTTTTGGGAATTCCCACTGAATGTCTCTCTGTTAAACAAATCCACAGAAATTCAATGAATAATAGTTGTTTAATCAAAAGTAAATATGCTTTAGTTTAATGCAAAATTTGATAAATTTTGATTATGAACAACATATAAAAATACATTGTCATTTGTATTAGTTTCTAGTATGCTTCCATAACATCTTAATATTGTAGTTCTCGGTGACCTGAAAAACAAAAACAAAAAAATCATAGTAAATAACACTTGTCATTTCAACTATTAATAACTATAGATAAAAATAGTGATGAAGCATATTTCTGATCCAAAGACATTACGTTATTCCTTTTTAATCTAATAAATTACATCAATCACATTTTGTTAACACATTTCGATATATTCTGAATATTATTTCGGTTATTAATAATAATAATAATAAGCAAGAATGTTTTAGATGTGGTAGGATACGTAGGTTAAACGTCTTCTTCTCAAAATAGAAGTAATTTTTCAGATATTCCGTATATAATTTCTATAAATAACATTTGTAAATTCTGGAATTCATCTAAGCTAACGTTGTAAGGACAGTTTATTCACCACTGTATTGTCGTTGTGTGCATGCTTGCTAACGACGCGCACTGTCTTTTGTTGGTAATAAACAACATCGTTGACATCGCTAAATGTGGAATTAGGTAGTTGGTTCGCCGAGCATGCATTTTACTCAGTGCCGTAATGCTTGGATAAACAAATGTCAAATAGGTCACTTGGTCATTAGTTATTCATTAGCTTATCACACGCATGTCACTCGCAAATTACTCTTGTGGTTCACGCGTGTCTATGTCGAACGTTCAGTGATCAGTACTGTATAAGGTTATCTAAGTTAAGGCTCTGCAAGACTTCTCTGCTAGACTCACTCCTAGTCCTCCTAGTTATTATTTTGGCAGCTCTGTTTTGCATGACTTGAAGTTTGTAACTTTGAGATGCATTTGAGCGCCCCCAGACAACATGACAGTATTCAAAATATGGAGCAATTAGTGATTTATACATTGTGCATTGAATATCTTTTGGTAAAATAGAATTTGCTTTTTTGAGGTACAGTAGTAGAGTCCTTGCAGTGCCTTACCTTTTACATATTCAGTATGGTAATTCCAAGAGAGGTTATCATCAGTTATGATACCAAGGTGTTTGCAAAGCTTTACACGTTTGATCTTTTGCCCATCAATATTTAATTTTAACCCCAAATCATTATATTTGTACAAGTTTTGAGAAGTACCCATGACCATATACTCAGCAGGGTTCGAAATGATGCTGGTCCGCCGGCCAATGGCTAGTAAAATGTATGGCGGACCTGTTAATTATCCCAATAACAAGTCTGCGTGACCAGTTAAAATGTCAATGAAAGAATGACGAAATACCTAAAGCTTTAATCATTCACCTCTTAACGATGTCTTTACAAAATATTTTACACAGATGTCAACAAGATCGCTATTTTCTGTTTATTGTCGTGTTAATGTCCGCTACGAACAGCCTCGGTTTCAGTCATTCAAGGCGAACCGATGAACATCACGCACTAGCCTAGACCATAGAGGAATCCATGGCTAGACGTACAGAGGGAAATCACCTTCTCCGCATGTTATAGCGACAAGGAGAAGTTGATTTCCGTCTGTGTGAACACCATGAAGTTAAAACATCATGTCATGTATCCATCCCACAATGCAACGTGGGACAAAAAGTTAAACAACGCAAGGATTTCCAGACGAAATAACGCAATAATCACACCCTGTAAATGAATCGTTCGTACAGTCCCAATAGCATTGCCATGGAGATTATATATTAATTAAAATGACACTCCAGTAAAATTTTAGATAAAGCAGGGAGTTGGATATTAAAGTCAAAGTTACGCCTTCCATTGTTTTAATAAAATGCATTATCGGCTATGAATACTTAAAAATCGACTGTAATCAACCTGAAATGAAAAAGGAACTCAAAGCAATTGTTTTTACGACGGCTCTTTTTCAGTAGACGTTTATTTCGGATTTGGTATGTCATTAGATTCATATATCAGTCTACATGTAAATTACACTCACATTCCCCAAAAACATTGCTAATTACGGAGGGAATTTGCAGAGAATGAAATTTTAATTTGTTAAATTTATTTTTAGATTTTACTCTAAAACAAAACCACGGGGGTTTCTTATTCATTTTAATAAATTTGTTTAATTAAAAATTTATCGGTTTACGCTAAGCTTGTTCCTGTCAGCAAGCTGTCACGCACTTTGAAACTTTGGGCGATCTGACGTCACCACAGCCAAGCACATGGGATTTTTGCCCAGCAACATGACCCCACGAAAAGAATTAACAAATTAGCGGGAAGAGTTTAGGAGGCGCGACCTGATATTTACAACAAGTCGCATCGTCGTGACCACGAAGAATGTGTTGTTTACAGTTTAGAAAAAAATGTCAGACCGAAAATGCACGAAAAAACAATATAAAAGCATTCATTTTATTGGTACAGTAATACAATTTGCTGTGCACTACAGCTAAACAACAGGTACTGTACGTATTAAATGTTAACTTTTTTCGTAGGCTAGTCATACCGAATTCACTGGGCTAGCCTATGCTGCTAAGCCTATTTTTAGCATCTAGGCCTAGGCTAGGCCCTAACTGGCCTGCCTTATTCGGAAAGGATTCAATAGAAATGTTCCACAAACCAATCTTTCCGGAAAACCGAACATCGTATTGTGAGAGTGCACTGTACATACAAATAGATTCCTGTATTTATATTTCGCGGCATAATTTCCCATACAGAGACAACAGAAAGATTTTTCTGTATCTGTCAGTGTTACTTTATTGGTGGGGGGGGGGGCAGCATGATTAGCGTGTGAAAAATATGGTATTTGGGCCTTCCGAAGTTGGCAAGATAGTGGCTAGTGAAAGGGATTGAGGACCAGTAAAAGTATTATTTTACTGGTCCACTTGGCTAGTTAAAAAAAACCTTAAGGGAAACCCCTGCTCAGTTTTCTTAACGTTTTAAGTTAAGTTTGTTTCTAATGAGCCAGTTTTTTTTATTTTATTTAGGTTAACTTTTAAAGTTTCAACTACATCATTTATATTGTCAGATGAGTAGTAAACCTGTTTCAGCTGCATGCAATTGCTTTACAATTTTGGATATCTTAAGGCAAATCATTTATGTAGAGTAGAAATAACTACTGTATGGCCCAAGAATAGACCCCTGTGGGATACCACAGACACTTATACATTTGTTTGAGGAAACACCATTGACACTTGTAATATGATTTCTATCAAGCAAGTTGTGCTTAAACCAGTTTATAACATTTTCATGAAGGTTAAATGATTGTAGCTTTTTAACAATGTGTTTGAGTGTAAATAATTATATAATATAGCCTGAATATAAATATATTCTTTGCTCTATATTTCTGATTCTAAAACTTGTAGACACATCGTCCTTAATTTGATGATACTATTAATGAGTTTAGCTTGAACCTGTAGCTTGGTGGATATGCCTGTCTTCCTTTTTAAATTTTGGGTTCAAATTGCCATTAATACTATTAACTGGTAGGTCACACTCTGTAGATGAGATTTGAATTGAGATAGAACATTCGATTTGTTGAGTTAATTTAACGTATATTAATAAAATGTATATTTTTATTTTAGCTGAAAATATTACGGATGCCTATTGAACATGAGGATGGTACAATTACGCCAAGAGGTGAACCAAGTCCAAGAGTTTGTATGCAGGTACGGTAATATATTTTGACAATGAATTTTAATATGAACTGTGAAATCACAAGTCAATGGCAGTGTTTTAATATTACTAGGGATAAGTAGGTCTGTGATATATAGTACAAGCCTCAATAAAAATTATAGGCATAATTGTACTATTTTTGTTTATTAAAAATTTCAGCTGTGAATATATTGTAAATAAAAAAATTAATTGTTATAATGTTAAGGTGTTAGAGTTTCTCAAGAAAGAGATGAAAGAGTTGACAATTGGAATGAAGCACACATGTTATAGGTTTCGCGTCCTGTGTTGGATGGGCTCGCAAGAAATGCATTTTCACGATTTGGAAGAATGTCTGGAGAACGATGCTATCCTGTGCGGAGAGAGATTGATAATGGCAGGCAAACTACAAAGGATGTTCAAGAATAAGAAACCAGTGACAGGAAACCCATCCTTACCAGGTATCGTTGTGGAAATGGACATGCTTAGTACCTTACACAATCAAAAATTGTCTCAAAGCACTTAAAGAATATTAAATAGAGAAGAGAAACTAATCACAAACAACCGGTTTAATATTAACATTTCATTATAATATTTCTACAAAATATTTCTTGAAGGTTTGCATAACATTTAAAAATGTTTTTAAAAAATCATTTTCGGTACTCTATGTGAAAAAATATGCTGTGTGTAAAAATGAAGAATATAATTTAAATATTACTTGAAGATTTGCATGAAAAGTAAAAGTAATTTTAAATTTAAGCTTTAGGTAAATAAAGTGTAAAATATGTTTTTTAAGAGAGAAAGAAAAAAAACGCTACTTGTTTGTCTCGACATTTCAATGAGATTGCACAGAATGTAAGCAGGAAAAATGAAGACCCTCAAATTGCTCCCAGCTTTAGTGAAACAGTAGATCATCTTATGTTATGGTTAATGTTAAACCACTTTAAAATTTAAGGTTGAATGTCATTTAGTATTAAAACGATAATAAAACTGTATAATTTGGTCCTAATCCTAACATTCGTAGATACTATATTTGATCTGTTGATAATATATTGGTTACAGGTCCTTCAGTGGAAACCGCAGGTGACAACAATTTAGAAACAGCACAACCAGGTTGGTGTTTTTCTTTTAAAATATACTTATTTTATTGTTAATTTTAATTCACTTTTAA